GAGTGCTCAGCTCCCCACCCACTTCCTGCCTCTGAAAGTCCCTGCCTTGCCTCTCATGATGGGCAGATGTCTTAGTATGAGTTCTCTAGAGGAGCAAAGCAAGTGAGATGTGGATAGATAAACAGACAGACAGATAGATAGACAGACAGATAGATAGATAGAGATACAGATATATATGGTGGAGAGAGAGAGCAATAGATTTTCTTCAAGGAAATGGCTAATGCAATTATGGGGGCTGGCAAGTTCCAAATCTGCAGGTCAGACAGCAGGCTGGAGGCTTCTGCAGGCTTCTTGTTGTTGTGTGCAGTTGAGTCAATTCCGATTCATAGTGACCCCATGTGACAGAGTAGAACTGCCCCATGGGGTTTTCTAGGCTGTAATCTCTACAGGAGCAGATCAGCAGGTCTTTGGTTAGCAGCTAAGTGCTTAACCATTGCACCACCATGGCTCTATGTCCCAGAAACCCAAAGTCAGGTGATGAGAAGAGTGCAGGGTCGAGAGAGAGTGAGCTCTGCCAGAACATCCATTTATAGCCTGGAGACAGGCCACTCCCCCAAGGAAACTCCCCTTTCAGCTGATTGGCTGCTCACATCAGATCACATCATGGAAGATGATTACATTATATCACATGATGGAAGCCTACTCAGTTTAGTGTCTTCCAAACCACTAAGAATCACAGGCTGGCCAAGTTGACACATAACATTAACTATCACAACAGTTGTTTACTGTGGGGTCCTTAACTAAGGGTCACTGGATTTTGATGGAATCTCTGTGCTTTGTAGGCGAGGCTGAGCCAGCAGCTCCCTGCTACCTCAGGTGGATATCACTTTGGATTTAGTAGATTTAGCTCTGTTCAACTACCTGGTCAGGAAGAGTCTGGTTTGGTTTTGTCTGGTCTGGTCCAGTCGGGTCAAACCCTGGGCAGAAGTGCAGCCCCCAGCTCTGTGCTGACAGGACTTGGCCACATCTTTAGCCTCAGCCCCGAAGGATGTCTCCTCTGGATTTCGAGGTCTGCCCTTCTCCCTCGGACGGATGTCGGGTCTAAATCAGGGGTTGCTTTGGGATTTCCGGAACCAGCAACATTTCAAAAACATTTCAGGGCTGCCTTTATTTGATCGAGAAAAGACATGAAACGTGGTTGTCTAGAGTTACCATCAGGGAGCTCTGGTGGCAAAACAGTTAAGCGCTCGGCTGCTAACTGCTCCATGGGAGAAAGACATGGCAGCCTGCTTCTGTAAAGATTACAGCCTAGAAAACTCTATAGGGCAGCTCTGCTCTGTCACTTGGGGTCTCTCTGAGTCAGAATCCGCTTGAAGGCACCAAACAACAGCAGAACGCTAGGTAAAAAGGCTCAGGGGAATTCTAAGGACTTGCCTGGGGCGTGACGTGCCCGGGCGGTGCAACCAGTTAACGCACTTGGCTGCTAACCTAAAAGTTGGAGGTTCAAGTCTACCCAGAGGCACCTTGGAAGAAAGGCCTGGCCATCTACTTCCATAAGATCACAGCCATTGAAAACCTTCTGGAGCACAGTTCTACTCTGATGCACATGGGGCGCCACGTGTTGGAGTCGACTCGGTGGCAACTGATGTGTAGGCTACCTGGAGGAGTGACAGACGAGAACGTGTGCCTTGCCGGGGATGTCTGTGCTTTCCTGAGTTTGGGCTTTATCCCTCAAATTAGTGTTGTTAACGATATGCCCAAGGATCTGCCACATCAGAATCACCTGGGGGAGAGGTTGCTAGATGACTAAATTCTGCTTTAAAAATAAGCTCCCCAGGAGATTCCCCCCCACCCTTAGTTTGTGAATATCTGGTTCGCAGTGAGAAGGCAGGCAAGACGCTGTTAAAAAATACAATCATGTCCTGTTTCAAAAGAATAACATGGTATTTGGTTGCTCTATGATTTAATAAACAATCTGCAAAGTGGGGGACCATTCTTCTTCTGCAGGAGGAGCCTGTTCCAGAGAACCGCGAATTCACGGAGACTAATAACCCTGCTTCAAGAATATAGGTTTCTATGGTGATGAAGTACTTAATGGCTACTGAGTTAACACTAGAAACGCAATGCCCTCAACCCACCTGCCGTCCTGAGACTGCTGGAAATTTAAATGAAAGAAGCCTGAGTCTTTTTCCTTAAATCCCAAGTTAATGTTTTGTTACTGTCAGCTCTTGGGACAGGAAGGAAAAGTCGGTTAGCAACTTTTGGTGAGAGAGGAAAAAAAAGCCACTGGAGGGTTAATTTTGGGCTAGGAATTTTTAAGTTCTGGGATAAGAAAAGGCCTCTTGAAATCAAGTATCTATTTTTAATACAGATTTGATCCCACAGGGCTAAGCAGTGGGTTGGCTGGCTGGATTTGTGGTTTGGTGACACCCCTCTGGGTGGGCGGCTTGGGATGGTGCTGGGAGGGGCAGGGAGCCAGAGGGGTTCATGGTGCTGGGTGGATTTCTGGAAGAAGGATGGGAGGGACAGAGAGGCCAGCAAGCCTTTCTCCTGCCCCTGGAGGTTCTGGGTTCTCTGTCCTGAGGACGCATGGGGAACCCCACTCCCGGCTTGTCCCTCCTGAGCGGCTGGACCATCCCCACCCCCAGCATGCATGGACTGGGCTGGCCCGGCCTCCCTCGGCCTTGCCTCCCCCTACCCCCAGCAGCTACTCAGCTCCTCGGGGTCTCTGGCCTGATCTGCATCATGCCTGGTGGGTGATGAATTCTGGGACGTGCTGGTTGCAGAGGAGCATAGCATGATTTGATAACAGTCATGGAATGAGTTATGAAGAGCCCTGGTGGGGCAGTGGTTAATGCACTCAGCTGCTAACAGAAAGATTGACGGTTCAAACCCACCAGCCGCTCCTCAGGAGAAAGATGGGGCAGTCTGCTCCCGTAAAGGTTGCAGCCTTGAAAACCCTATGGGGCAGTTCTGCTCTGTCCTACAGGGCCCTCAAAGGAATCAACTCAACGGCAGTGCGGTTTTGGGATGAGTTATTATATCCCTCACCATCAGCTGAAATTAGTTCCTTCTAAAGAAAAGAAAAACCACCAAAGCAGTGGATTAGGCGGAATAAACGGTGAGGGCTGTGTCCTCCTGGTCTTTGTCGCCCCAAATCCCTGCCAGATGGCTGAGCCAAGGGTTCATGTTTCGGCCAATTACAGACCCTCATTAGGGCTCGTCCTGTCTCTAGATGTGGGGTCTCTGTCTGCGGTGATGGGGACTTCTCAAACTTGCGTGACGACACAGTGAATGTATGTTAGTCAAGAGGCCAAGGAAACAGAAAGCCAACAGTGAATTCTTTGCATATTTTATTTTTCTTTTTTTGATTTCCAACTCACACACATCTGGCGTATTTTACATCTTTGCAATAAAACATGGTTACAATAGCGTAAGGAATTTATAAATCCAAAATTATTTCACCGTGATCTCAAGATGAAATGAACTTGTCTTCCTGATGTTCGAATCCTCCCAGCTCTAAGCCACAAACCCAGGATGGTGCGCACAGCCCAGCAATGGAGAACTTCATTGTGACGCTGATTCCCATAATCTCAGAATCTCAGAAATACAAACAACAATGAGAGGAATTCAGTGCTAAAACTTACTAGTACAAGGTGGGTAACAAAGAAGTAATCACGGCAATAAATAATGATATGTTTCTGGTGCAAAGTGCCAATACAAAGAATCCATTATCTTGTTTTATCTTTTTAAATAAATGGCTGCAAGTGAGTGTAAATTCTGAGAAAATTACATTCCTGTAACATGCCTCATAGCCCTACCGACACAATATGTACATCTATGACGATACAGTCACCAAATATACAAAGAAGAAACGTGGAGAAGGTGTCTATTCCCCTGGGTGCGGAACTTGATCGGTACAGTGTATGGAAAATCATCGCAGAGCCATCGTTTGATGCCATAAAAGATGAAATGTCTAAGGCGCAGAATGCGGCTTCAGGTGACAGTCACACAAGACCCTAAAAGGATAACTGGAGCTGCTGTAGTGAAGTCCAAGTTGTTGTTAAAGAAACTAAGCTATACTCACGAACCAAAGAGAAAACCAAAAAAGCCAGCATCAGAGTCCCTCCCTAATGTCCGCATGCTAAGCCAGCGGAAGATTCTGGAAGAGCATGTCAGATGTCGAGAAGTCCTTCCTAGGCCACTGAAGATCCTATTGATACAGTAAAAACCAGGACCTCGCCCCTCAGCCCCCTTTCTGCTGTCTTCCAATCAGGACTGGTACGGCTGAATTTTCTTTGTATAAAGTACCAAAATGGCAAATAATGGCTTAGTATCCAGATGCCTTGTGAGCAAATGTCTCCTGGAATGATGAATTTAGACTAAAAAGTGCAAACTATATTTTGGTAAGAATGTCAAAAATCACTGACTGAACCTAATTCAACCCTTTCGAACAAGCTGTGTCCTTGGAGGGATCTTCCTTTTCCTGGCATGAACGAACCTGCTCCACCGGGACATCGAGATTAAAGAGCATGCAAGTTATAACTCCACAATAAAATTAAGAAACGTTTTGTTCTTTATACAAGGTTTTACTTTTACAAAAGTATCCCTTTAAATAAGATGCGTCTGATGTACAAAGTATCAAACGGGTTTTTTTTTCTTTTTTCTCAGCTTGAAAAGAGGCTGGAAATGAGATGCAGGTCAGGCTCAAAGCTTACTCTTTGTAACAACTAGACACAGGATTCTTCAGAACGGTCCAAAGTCTCTTGTGACGCGCCCTACAACCTTTTCTCGATAAACAACGATATATGAAATAATTACCAAAACATCTCCTAATTCGTATAATTTACATGATAGAAGCTGGCTGGGTAGCAGCTGGTGTTTGGTCGTGAAAAAACACAGAAAGTAAAATGGTTGCTGACTACAATGGGCAGCTATTGCTGGGTGTGATGGGATGTACAGACGAGGCCCAGGCAGGCGAGCTTCCCCCGGAGATACTGCCTTCCCACCAAGCACTTGTGCTCTCGGCTTCAACCTGGTGTTTCGGTCTCCATTTCTCTTCAGTATCTGTTCTGATGCTCATAATGCCACCGGTTAAAATCTATATTAAAAGCTACAATGCTGCCAGACGCCATGCCGGTGATCAGCGTCCTAGAAAAGCAGAGACAGTGGTTAGGAGGGACGCAGGGTCACGGATGCGGCTGCTACTTTACACAGCCAACATCATGCCTCGAAGTTCACCAAGTGTGCGCTTTGTGTTCACTGAGACAGGATTCTCAGGAGAGAGAGCTGACCCATCCTGCCCACGTCTGGACCCGCTGGGAGCCT